TTTATCAGTTAGAAATGCCAATTCTGTAAGGTACCTCAATTCCCTAAGTGTATTTCTTTAAATTGTCCTTTTATTGAATTTTCTATCAGTTTGGACCACCTTAGCTGCTTTTATTGAGTTCTATTTCATAAATGTGCTAAAAGTATAAAATTATTAAAAATAAACAGGTAAGCACAATCTTTTCTCTGTTAAACAAGCTCACACACAACTTGGTGGCACTCAAATGACTACAAAGGAAATTCTCATATTTGAGAAAACAGACAGCGAACAAACTAAATATGGTAATGTCCTTATTCACCAGAAGGTCTAATTTCTGCAAAACTCAAGTACCCAGAACACATTCATATTTTGCTCAGGGACTGAGACACTAGCACAGTGCTGGAATATTATAAATATTTTATAAATACTGCTGAAAGGTCTTGTTAAATTAGTGAAAAAATCCTGAGTAGTCTCAGAACTATGAGGAAAACCAGTACGTGTTTAGCAGGAGAAGAGTATAGGACTAGTGCTCAAGCCGCACTCAGGTGGTTGAGCCTGTGGTGAGGCAGTGGACCAGAGGCTGTGCTGTCAGACGGTGGCTCTGCAGGGCGAAGGAAGGAGGAACCAGAGAGCAGGTGGAACGGCTGGAGTAGCCTTAAGAATGAGGAGCTAAAATCAGAGCCTGGTGCTTTTACATTCCTAGTGACTTTTACTGAGGGGCTTATTTTTGAGACTTTTAGAATCGTAAGTTTGTTTTTACAGTTATTTAAGTCTCTTCTTGCCCACTGTTGAGAACAGTCAAATCCCTTAGACAATCTCAGAAGGCACCAGAGGTTAGGAAGAGACTAACAGTAAGCGAGGGAGAGGGGGAATGTTAGTTGGAAGTAACAGGGGTACCTTAGAACACGTTTGACAGTGGATAGCTCAGGACCCGACGAGGGCAGTAGAGGATGCCGTAGTTATAGAAATCCAGAGATGCCTTAGGCTCTCACCAGACTCTAGTATAGTCTGGACCTCTGAGGAATTTCCCTTAAGAAAAGGCAAATTTAGTCGAAATCTTCTGTTAATCTACACGTCGGTCCCACTCTCAGAGAGTCTAATACAGCAGGTCCCTGGTGAGCCCCACACTGTTAACATGTACTCCTAGGTGATTCGGCTGTGTGTGACCCACGTACCTGGAGAAGCACAGATTTATGAATATTTTCTGATTAACTTCTCTACTGTTGAAATGAAAATAAATGTGGTTTTACTGAAATAAAGGTAATTGTGTATGAATTGAAAACCAATTATATTTCTTATTTCCTCAGGGTAAGGAGAACTGACATTGAATTTTAACCAGCCTGCAACGTACTTGCTCAATAAATGAAATTTACCACTTACAGATAAAAACATAATCACTAATTATAATTTTAGTCAAGTCCCAATTATCTGTTCTAGATTAAAGTTAGGAGAAAAATTGAGACAGAAAAAAAAAGTCTCCACATCAGTTATCTTTGCACTTGAAATATATTTGTTGCAGACGTATATACGTACATACATAGTCACCCATTCTCTTCTTCATACCTGGTCTGTGTAAAAATGAGTATTTATATTCAGAGCATAGAAAAAAGAGAGTGTGATAAATTTGCTGTCAGTGGAGGTATATGGAGTGACAGCAGTAGTGGGAGAGTGGTGGGGGGTGCATGTGTGTGTGTATCAGGAGAGCAAATCATTGATAAAGGGAAGAGACCCGAGAAGCAGGGGGAGAGAGAGTAGGAGTCAGGTGACCATTTAAAGTTATGGGCTATATGAGGCAGGGAACCCAAGAATTTATTTTTATTTTATTTATTTATTTATTTTTTTAAGTCAGAGTCTCACTTTTTCACTCTCGGGAGAGTGCTGTGCCATCATAGCTCACAGCAATCTCAAACTCTTGGGTTCAAGCCTCCCTAGTAGCTAGGACTACAGGTGCCCACCACAACGCCAGCTATTTTTTTTGTTTTGTTTTGTTTTTTTTAGCAGGCCAGGGGCAGGTTCGAACCCAACAGCCCCAGAGCATATGACCTGTGCTCTATAAACGCCAAGCTATGGGTGCCCAGAACCCAAGAATTTAATGCTACCTGCTACTGTGCGATTCCTTATCTTAGCAATTCATATGAAATCTAGATCCTGGCTCCTGTCTTTTGAATAGAGGACAGACCAGGAATCAGCATGAGCAGGAGCAGGCAGCAGTAGTCCCTGCTGACTGTAGTAAAGGCAGGCGGGAGAAAGGGAGATAGGACATCAGAGGCAGCCAGACTGCAGACAAGAGTGAAGGCCGACACAGTATGGGAGAGAGAAAGGAATTAGAAAGTAGATGGCAAACAGATTGGTACTGTACTCCTAGTGAGGGATGTTCATGATGGTGATGACCTTGCTGCATCATTAAGGAAGATTAAATTATGTTTTATAGTCTCTTACGATGGCAGGTAGTGGTGTAATAAAATATGGTTTCTGAAGGGATATGTTCCAATTATCTAGGAGGCTAACGTCTGTGAAAGAAACCTTTCCTGATAGGGTCAAATAAGTGAGAGGTTACTATACAGTTGTGTCCATTTGGCAATTTGTTTTATGAAACAGCGTACTGACACTTGTTCTAGCAAACAGTCTCCCTGATCTGCTAGGAGTGCATCCCAAGGCCCCTAGTGGATGCGTGGAAGTGCACCTAGTACCAAACCCTATATATACTATGTGTAGGGTTTTTTTTTGTTTGTTTGTTTTTTGAGACAGGGTCTTATTCTGTTATCCAGGCTAGAATGCATTGGTGTGATTATAGGTCACTGTAGCCAACACCTGGGCTCAAGTATCCTCTTGCCTCAGCCTCCCCAGTAACTGATATTCCTGTAGTATTCTCTTTTAGGAATATGCTACCAGGCCAGCTGATTTTTTAGTTTTTTTGTAGAGATGGGAGTCTCGCTATGTTGCCCAGGCTGGTCTTGAATTCCTGGGCTGGAGTGATCTTCCCACTTTGGCCTCCCAGCGTGCTGGGATTACAGTCATGAGCCACCGTGCCCAACCTATGCTATGTTTGTTTTTTCAGTCTGATAACCCAGAAGGCCATTAAGTGACTAATGGGCCGGTAGTAAATGAGTATACTGTGTGGATACACTGAACTTAAGATGATTCATGTTCTAGATAGGTAGAGTAGGATAGGGTGATATTTCATCACACTGCTGAGGATGGTACACAATTTAAAACTTACAAATTGTTTGTTTCTGGAGTTTTCCATTTAATATTTTCAGACTGTGGTTGATTGGAGGTAACAAACCAGAGAGAGTGAAACCTTGGATAAGTGGGAACTACTTAATTAAACTTTTTCTTATTTAGCTTATCTGTAGAATATGATGCTCACATCTGATAGGCAACTAAACATTACACTTTATCGTATCATAGTCCTTGCATTATTATTAAAAAAGATAACTTATGAAATGGGCATTTATTTAAGTAGGAAAGGGTGAATGTACATCTCACAAAAGTTAATTTCCTTATATATTTGGCAAAGCATTGTGAATATAATATTATAGTCTCGGAATATAAGTCACAGTCTTTTGATGTATAAATTATGTGGAATAATCTGTAACTGGTGATTTTTAAGTAGTTAATAGAACTTTTACAGATGCTTAACCTTATCCTGGGGTTTGGGGGTAGGGATGCGGCAGCATCTGAGTGACTATGTTTTAGTAAGATCTGTCTCTACTGATGTCATGCAGAGATGATATAGAAGAACCTCACAGTAGCATGTAGCAGGGGGACTGTTTAAGGATTGTTTTGCTTATCTGTGGTGTCAGATATTGAGAAAAGTATACACAGACCTTTTTTTTGCTTAACAGCTTCTGTTAGAGTTTGTGTATTTAATCTGTGTCCCAAGACAACTCTTGTTCTTCCAATATGCAACAGAAGAGAAAAAAGGTTGGACACCCATCTAAATTTTACAATTTGTTGAAAAAACTGGAGCTGCTAGTCTTTCAGACAAAAGTTATTTTCCAATCCTTTTATGTGGCATATACTGTCTATCCAAAACTTATCAATTTTGCTCTATCACTATTCATTTGACTCCTTTGAAGGAATCACATCACTGTATCTGGTGTTGTGTTGGTCTGTCAGATCTAAGTATTATGCCTGGTATTAGATTATCAGTTGAATGCTTGAGTGATTAAATTATTAATAGTGGTTAGAGAGGCTTTTGCCTAAATCTAAAGAATTCATTGCTTGTTAAATTGAGTTTCTCAAGTTTATCTTCATCAGAAAATTTACAAGTAAATTTTTTGGGGGGGGGTGTGTGATTTTCAAGCTGTTACATGATCAACCTATCTCATGTCATTTGTATATTTTCTCAATGCAATTACTATATTTTGTGTATTGATTTACTGAAAAGTATTTTTGTATGTAGGTTGAGATTACATGCAGGAATAAACCAAGGAAATAGAATAAATATGTACAAAACTTGTTTTTCTTCCTTCATAGATATATGGGCAATAGGCTGCATATTTGCTGAATTGTTGACTTCAGAACCTATTTTTCACTGTCGTCAGGAAGATATAAAAACAAGCAATCCCTTTCATCATGATCAACTAGATCGGATATTTAGTGTCATGGGGTTTCCAGCAGGTAATTTATTTTCCTTTCTAAGATCATATTTTGAGACATATTTCAAAGTCATTTCTTTTCAAAAGCGTATTTTATGTAAATTTTAAACTAACATCAGGAGATTTAAAATAGAATTGACACATTATTTTCTATAACAATATTCATTCTTTTTGTAAGATAAAGACTGGGAAGATATTAGAAAGATGCCAGAATATCCCACACTTCAAAAAGACTTTAGAAGAACAACGTAAGTAATTCTATATTGTCTCAATTTGTTTCTGTTTCTATAAAAATTAACCTTAGACTAGGTAGTTTATAAACAATAAGAATCTATTTTCTCACAGTTTTGGAGGCAAGAAGTTCAAGATCAACGCATCTGCAGGTTCGGTGTCTGGTGAGGGCTGCTTTCTGCTTCCAAGATGGCAGCATGTTGCCACCACTACCTGGTGGAAGGCAGAAGAGCAAAGTGGGCAAATGCTGTGTGAAGTCTCTTTAACACGGCATTAATCCTGTTCATCACTAACCACTACTCACTGCCCAGAGGCCCCACCTTGCAATGCGATTGTATTGGGAATTGGGTTTCAACATGAATTTTGGAGGGGATACAAATATTCAAACATAGCACACATTAATTATAGGTAGTAACTTCAATGGGAACATTTAAATGAATATTCTTTTTTTTTTATTGAATGATAACTATGTACATTAATGCACTTCTGGGGTACAGTGTGGGGTTTTCACACACAATCCGAAACACTTCCATCAAACTGGTTAACATAGCCTTCATGTCATTTTCTTAGTTATTGTGTTAAAACGTTCATATTCTACTCATAGAAAGATTCACTTGTACCCTTATACGATAAACCTCAGAAGTGATCCCTCCAATCCTCTTCCCTCCACCCATTCCCCCCTCCCCTCTCCCTCCCCTCTCCCCCCGCATATTCTTAGGCTGTTATTAGTTTATAGCTTTCATATAAAAGGTACAAGTTCGTTTCATAATAGGGGTGTGTACATTGGATACTTTTTCTTCCATTCTTTAAATGAATATTCTTATGGTGTAGATTAGATGTAGATTATTATTTAAATCAGAAACTTAGATTTTATAATCTTAATTATGCCCATGATTTAAAGATCTTCCAGATACTATTTACATACACACCAAGTTTAGGCTATAATATTAAAAACTTTGAAGAGTTTAAGAGTCAATAGATAGTTTAAATGTCTGTTCTGTTTTAGCATGATAAAGATTTCAGTTTAAGGCCACAACTATAGTTTTATCTTTATCTGAATAATGAATGGTAACTGAAATGCTGGACTGGGAAGCCAGAATGGACAGTAGGAGGAAGAACGCATGGCCTGGGGTCTGAGTAAAACATATGGGCAGAGACATGTACGTTGACAGAAAGGAGAGTTCAGGTGATGGTGTGTGAGGAGTTTGTTATAAACATGCATGCCTGGAGGAAACGGCAGACGAGTTTCTCTCTGGGCAGCTTACCTAGAAAATTTCAGTAGAGGATGGCTTATAGAAACAAAGCAGGCATAAAGAGAAGTAGAGAATGGCATTGATCATTTTTGGCCCCTCTTTTTTGCAGTCCTTAGTAGGGTCCTTAGCCTTTGTGCATCTTTTAAAGATAGCACTGATACCAAGTTTTTTTGTCTTGGGTTCTCTTCTTACTCTAGAAATTTTCTTAGGCAGACTCCATGATTATAGTAGGCACAATTTACCATCAGTTGTGTTGATAACTCCCAATTTATATATCCTACTTGTATTTCTTTTCTAAGTTTCAAGCCCATTTATCTCAGTCGCCTTGTGGAATCCCAACCTGTGTGTTCTATAATGCTTAAATTAAGCATCCAAAACTGCACTCATCATCTATTCTCCTAAACCTCTTTTCCTGCTGTATTTTTTATCTTGGAAAATGGCTCCATGATTCTCCTAATTGTTCACGCTAATGACCTGAGAGTTTTCCCTGATCCTTCTTCTGTCTTACTCTTTTCCCTTTCGCCTTGAGCACACTAATGATTAGTAAATCTGGTCTGAATTTTTATTTTTCCTGGAGGTCCTTTGAATCTTTTTATTTCTGTCCATCTACCCTCTCACTATTATAGTCCAAACCACCACCTAGGATTCTAGGATTTTCTCCCTAGAATCTTTCAGTGACCTCATATGTGGTATTTCTAACTTAAATCTTCCTTCCAACTTAGTGCCTGTACAGTCATCATCAAAAGCAAATTTGATCATGCCAATTTCCTAGGTGCCCTTAATTTGCAATTGCTTTCTATTGCTTAACATGGCTTACAGAGCTTTGGCTTCTTTATTGCCAGGCCCATCTCCTAACTACTACTCTTCACTTTGTATTCTGTAGCCTCAACACTGGGATTTCTTTAAGTATCTCAACACTCTGAGCTTTCTTTGACCTCTGGATTTTTATTTATTTATTTTATTTTTATTAATTAAAAAAAAATAATAGCAGTGTACTGCTATTAATACTATCATGGGGTATAGTGTACTGTTTCTGTATACAATTTGAAATACTTTCATCCAACTGGTTAACATAGCCTTCATATCTTTTTCTTAGTTATTATGTTAAGACATTTGTATTCTACATTTAGAGAGATTCACATGTACCCTTATAGGATGAACCATAGGCGTGATCCTACCAATCACCCTCCCTCCACCCCCCCTCCCCTGTCTTTTCCCTCTCCCTATATTCCTGGGCTAAAATTTTCCTATGAAAGCTATAAATTAGTTTCATAGTGGGGCTGAGTACTTTGGATACTTTTTCTTCCATTCTTGGGATACTTTGCTAAGAAGAATGTTTTCCAGCTCTATCTATGTAACATGAAGGAGGTAAAGCCTCCGTCTTTCTTAATGGCTGCATAGTATTCCATGGTGTACATATACCACAATTTATTGATCCATTCGTGGATCGATGGGCTCCTGGGCTTCTTCCATGACCTAGCATGACCTCTGGATTTTTACACATGCTCTTCTTCCCACCCCTTTCATCAGATTCTTACTTCTTCTGCTTGTCCTTTCAGTCTTGGATCCCTGATCCCTTCCAGGTCTGAGTCTGGTGATCCTCCTGGTACTCCCGTTGCACGCCATGCTGCTTCTCTCAGCACTGGTCACCATGGTACATTAGCTTTTGAATGCTATCATTCCCCCCAGATAGTATGGATCATCCATATTATGTATGCCATTATGTGTGTCTCCAGGGCCTGGCACACAGTACATACTGATTAATTACTTGTCAAATGGGTTTGTTAAGAATTAGTGAGCTGGCTTGGTGCCTGTGGCTCAAGTGGCTAAGGTGCCAGCCACATACACCTAAGATGGCAGGTTTGAATCTAGCCTGGACCCCCCAAAACAACAATGACAGCTGCAACCAAAAACTAGCTGGGTGTTGTGGTAGGCACCTGTGGTCCCAGCTACTTGGGAGGCAGAGGCAGGAGACTCACTTGAGCCAGGAGTTCAAGGTTGCTGTGAGCTGTGATGCCACGGCACTCTACCCACGGGGATAGCTTGAGGCTCTGTCTCAAAAAAAAAAAAAAAAAAAGAATTAGTGAGCCATTTTCCAAGATAGAAAATACAGCAGGAAAAGAGGTTTGGGAGAATAGATGATGAGTTCAGTTTTGGATGCTTAATTTAAGCATTTATGGGTTTGGGGTTTTTTTGCCATTTTTGACCAGGGCCAGGTTTGAACTTGCTGCCTCCGGTATGTGGGGCCAGCACCCTACTCCTTGAGCCATAGGCGCCTCCCTGATTTAAGCATTTATGGAATACACAAGTAATTGAAGATACTCTAATATTATAAAAGATGGAGAAAATTAATAGAGCTACTGAATATCTAACTTAGTATTTAAACACCAAATGAAAAGTTTTACAAAAAATTATAGTGTTCACAATAAAAATATAAAAGGAGAGAAATGTAAAAAGGTAAATGAAATTCGATTAGAAAAATAAGAAGAAGACAAGAGCCCATACTTTTTTTTTTTTTTTTAAAGAGTCTCAGTTTATTGCCCATGGTAGAGTGCTATGGTATCACAGCTCACAGCAATCTCCAACTCCTGGGCTTAGGCGATTCTCTTGCCTCAAGTAGCTAGGACTACAGGCGCCCACCACAATGCCTGGCTATTTTTTTGTTGCACTTTGGCTGGGGCTGTGTTTGAACCCACCACCCTTGGTATATGGGGCTGGTGCCCTATTTTTTGGTTGCAGCCATCATTGTTGTTTGGCAGGCCTGGGCTGGATTTGAACCCACCACCTTAGGTGTATGTGGCTGGTGCCTTAGCCACTTGAGCCACAGGCGCTGAGCCAGGAATTTTTTTTTTTAATGAAATCATAGCTGTGTACAATAATGCATTTATGGGGTACAATGTGCTGGTTTTATATACAATTTGAAATACAACAAACTGGTTAACATTGGACTTTAGACTATGGAAGTAATCTAAGCTGCCACAAATAGCTGAGTACTTACTATGTACTGGATGATGCTAAGCCCTTGGCTTGCGTTTTCTCATATGATCATAGCAGAGCTATAGGGTAGGTATAATTATAAATCCGTATTTTTCAGGTAGGAAACCTAAAGCTTTCACAGATGTTAACTAACTTGCCCAAGATCACACACCTGGTGAATGACTGAGTAGGGTCCAGTAGACCAGTGCAGTATTGTCTCCCTACTGTGTGCATCAGCTTTATCTATGGGGACCTGCATGTCATAGCTATTATGAAACAAACAACATCATACCAGTAAGATACACAGACACTCAAGGTGGTAAGTTTAAAGAGTATTTGATGAGGGAAAATGTTTATTAAGTGAAAAAAGCTGTGACAATTTTTATAATATGATTCCTATTTTATAAAAACAAAGAAAAAAATCCCTGTGGGTATATATGTATAAAACACAAGCAAATGGAAGTTATAAAAATTTTGAATGGTTCAGTATCATGGAATGATTACAAGTGATTTTAAGTTTCTTCTTTATACTTTTCTGTATTCTCTTTTTTTCCCTATGTTTAGACCTTTTTAATTTGAAACATTTCATATGTAGGAAAGAGTATATATGTTGAAAATATGATGAACATAAAAGGTATAGGTATAAAAATAAAACGAATACCCTTCTCTCTCATCCTCAACCTAAGATATAGCATATCGCTAAGATCACTGCAGTACCCTGTCCCTCCTCCCTCCCTTCACATCCCTCCCCAAGGGTAGACTCTGAGTGTTCTGAATTTGTTACATATCATTCCACATTTTCGTTGTAGTTTTGCTACATAGGTAGTATCTCTAAAGATTATTCATTTTAATGTCTTTGAACTGTATACAAATGCTACCATATTGCCTATTTTTTTCTGCAGCTTCCTTTTCTCCCCCTACTCAACCTTACATAGTAATTTTTACTCTTGTAAAATGTTGCATTCTGTGACTGTATAACAATTTATTTACCACATTCTTCGGTTGATGGACATCTGGATTGTTTATAGGATTTTGCTATTAGTTTAAGGCTGCTAAGAACATTCTTATTAATGTACCCTCTTACACATGTTCAAAAAGCATCTTATACTCAAGTATTTGCCTAGAAATGGAATTGCTGGGTCATAGGATATACACATTTTCAGTTTGTTTGTTTTTTGTTTTTTGTTTTTTTTGAGACAGAATCTTACTTTTTTGCCCTCAGTAGAGTGCCATGTCAGCATCACACAGCTCACAGCAACCTCCAGCTCCTGGGCTTAGGTGATTCTCTTGCCTCAGCCTCCCAAGTAGCTGGGACTACAGCTGCCTGCCACAATGCCCAGCTATTTTTTTTGTTGCAGTTTGGCCGGGGCTGGGTTTGAACCCGCCACCCTCGGTATATGGGGATGGCACCCTGCTCACTGAGCTACAGGTGCTGCCCACATTTTGTTTTCTTTTTTTTTTTTTTTTTTGAGACAGAGCCTCAAGCTGTCCCCCTGGGTAGAGTGCCATAGCATCACAGCTCACAGCAACCTCCAACTCTTGGGCTCAAGAGAGTCTCCTGCCTCAGCCTCCCAAGTAGCTGGGACCACAGACACCCACCACAACGCCTGGCTATTTTTTGGTTGCAGCCATCATTGGTGTTTGGCGGGTCCAGCCTGGATTCGAATCTGCCACCTTAGGTGTATGTGGCTGGTACCTTAGCCACTTGAGCCACAGGCGCCGAGCCACATTTTCAGTTCTTAATGGTTAATAAATAATTGTTTTCCAAAGGGATTATAACAATGTAAACTCTCAAATGCTGTGTGTGACAATTCCTATTTCTTTTTCTTTTCTTTTTTTTTTTGAGACAGAATCTCACTCTGTCACCCTGGGTAGAGTACCATGGCATCCTAGCTCATAGCAACCTCACACTGTTGGGCTCAAGAAATCCTTTTGCCTCAGCCTTCTGAGTAGCTGGAACTACAGGTGCCTACTACAACACCCAACACCTGGCTGTTTTTTAGAGATGGGGTCTTGCTCTTGAACTCATGATCTCAGGCAACCCCCCTGCCTCCACCTCCCAGAGTGCTAGGATTACAGGTGTGAGCCACCACACTTGGCCCACAATTCTGATTTTTTTTTTTTAACACATTTGCCAATATTTGGTAAAGCATTTTTTTTTAATCAGAAAAAAAAAAAAAAGCCAAAAACCCAGTGGCTTAAACATACGCCATATAGGAAAACCAGTGTTGGCGTTTTTCATTGACAAATATAAATTGTGTGAGTGTTGTCTCTGATGCATGGCTGTCCGTGTCCTTGCAGGTATGCCAACAGTAGCCTCATCAAGTACATGGAGAAACACAAGGTCAAGCCTGACAGCAAAGTGTTCCTCTTGGTAGGTGCTTCTCTCCCAGACTGAATTCTGACTCTTTGCACAACTCTCACTTCATCCCATTTACCCTGGGATTGTCCCAGGTAGTCTCCCTCAAAAGAAATTGGTAGATGTTGGGACAAAGTTAAATACTTTTCTGTTGAGATGTCATCCTTGACTTCTAGCCTTGGTTTTGTTAATGATTTACTGCAGAAAATAAATTTTAAAAGGGCTAGAATGCTGATGATTTCTGCCATTTTTACATAAATGTGTATAGTATACAGATCTGCAGCAAGCCGTTTGCAATGTACTAGATGTTAATCCTATGAGGCCTTAATTAATACATTACTTAATAATAACATGTGGACTTGTAAACGACTTTTCTGTTTCCTATGTGTTACTCCAGCTTCAGAAACTTCTTACTATGGATCCAACCAAGAGAATTACCTCGGAGCAAGCTCTGCAGGACCCCTATTTTCAGGAGGACCCCTTGCCAACCTTAGAGTATGTACCCCACCTTCTCTGTGTCCTTGGCTCAGGTTGAGGAATTGCAACGATGGCCAAAAGCAGAGGGAGCACTTGTTCCTGCAGCCTTCACTGGCTTCGTTAATGCTCCTTAGAGGAAAGCTGCTCAAGCTACAGGTTCTATGTTTTGAAACAGGCAGAGCTGTAGAGAGGTGTGAATAAAAATAAGTGTTTTAGGAATGACCGTTAATCAGATTTATAGATGAAAACTGAAGCTGAGAACAGATGAGACCTTTCCAGCCCAATCAGTGAGATCCACGATTAGAGCAAACCAGTAGGGAACTTGGACTGCACTCCAGGGCCCTCAACGCCTTCACCCTCACTACACCCGGCCACCTGCTTTGTGCTTGGGTTGATTACAGCTACACTTTTACTTGAGGAGAAAAAAAGTATTTTCTTACTGAAACAAATACAAATTGATTATTTTTAGTGCTCATGATGTTAGTGTGGGAAAACTTTTATGTCACCTATGTCCCCTAGATAATAGCAGTCAAGATTTGAAACGGAAAGTGCTAATTGGTGTAAAACTTCAGGTAGCTAATTATTCTTTTCTCATTGCTTAATTGAGTTGGATTGGGAGGTGTCCAGCAATCACCAGCCACAGATGAAGAGCAGGGATAAGTTATAGAAAAGAAGTGAAATTTTAAACTAATAAGATAATGATATTGTAGCGTTTAGGTCATTCCGTGTTTTTTTCTTTCCAATAATTTTTAGTGTATTTGCTGGCTGCCAGATTCCTTATCCCAAACGAGAATTCCTTAATGAAGATGAACCTGAAGAGAAAGGTGACAAGGTATAAAACTGTGTGGTACAAGTTCACTTCCAGAGAGTAAGGGAGGCAAAAAGATGACTCAGGCTTAATTTAATATTTCCTGCATACTTTAACCACCTTTTATTTAATTACGTTTGTATTCATTCATTTCCTGTGGAAGTTTGGGGATTGCAGACAGATCTTACAGTTTGAAATATGACAAGCTCATAGATAGATCAACTTCCTGGTTTGTTTGATAGCCTCTTCTATTCCCTGATTCTTGATTCCTGCTCCTTTTGTTTGTTCAGTAACACCATCACTTTATCTAGGTGGCTTTTGCAAGTGTCACTCTGTTCTTTTATCCTGGCAGGATTTATCAGCTGCCTCCCCATACTGCTCCACTTTTCCAAAATCATAATTGGAAAGACTTCTTATAGCTGTTTTTGTTTTTTTATTTTGAGACAAAGTTTTACTCTCTCGCCCTGGGTAGAGTACCGTGGCATCACATCTCACAGCAACCTCACGCTCCTGGGTTCAAGCGATTCTCTTGCCTCAGCCTCCTGAGTAGCTGGGACTACAGGTTCCCGCCACAATGCCCAGCTAATATTTCTGTATTTAGTAGAGATGGGGTCTCACTCTTGCTCAGGATTGTTTTGAACTCCTGACCTCAGGCAATCTACCCACCTCGGCCTCCTAGAGTGCTAGGATTATAGCCATGAGCCACCATGCCCAGCCCTTGTAGTTTAATGAGTACAAAACTGTTCCCTCCGTGTGTTATGGCCTTCAGTAGATACCTGTGATTCATTTAGAGGGTCACCATGTAATCAAAGTGACCTTGCCAGAATGTTCAAGGCTTGGTACATTGACCTTTGAGAACGCTGTGCTCCCCAGCCTTCTATTCTGCAGTCCTTCCTGTCACTTTAATGTTCCCCATCAGTTGTTCCCTTGGGTTGGTCAGTCACATGTGCATGTCAGGTTTTTGTTAATTTAGTTTCATACCAAGCATGCTTTTTTTTTCTTAAAAGAATCAGCAACAGCAGCAGAACCAGCATCAGCAGACCACAGCTCCTCCACAACCGGCAGCAGCCCCTCCACAGGCGCCCCCACCACAGCAGAACAGCACCCAGACCAATGGGACCACGGGCGGGGCCGGGGCTGGGGTGGGGGGTGCCGGAGCGGGGCTGCAGCACAGCCAGGACTCTGGCCTGAACCAGGTGCCTCCCAGCAAGAAACCACGGCTCGGGCCTTCAGGCACAAACTCAGGCGGGCCTGTCATGCCCTCAGAGTATCAGGTATTCTCCTAAATTCTGTACTTTTTGATGTTTATATGTTTTATGAATATGAAATGGGAAATAGATGTGTAACAGATCCTTTTTGAGATAAGTACTTAACTTTAACATTTGACTGTACTAACTGTATAGTCCTATTTCCAGGGCATCGTGTGGAAATGCAGATTTTTGTCATGTTTTATATAATCATAAGATCTTCCATATCCTGACTTGTTTATCCTGACAAGTGAAGGGGGAAGTGGGGAGGGAGGCACCTTTCTTCTCAAAGGAAATTTCATCCTTTCACCTAATGGCTGTGTTATCAACTTTGTTAGATCAGAGTACTTCCCTTCAAAAGGGAAGGGCATGGGTACTTTGGACAAAATTAAGTGCATTCTTCAGAAAGATTTATTCTTACTGGGAGAAAATAATTAGTAAGTAGCCACATACCTATAGTCGACAAAGGGATTAAGACTGAGACTTCTGAGAAATAACTGTTAAGTCTCACTAGAAATAATTTTGAGACTAGGCAATACTTTTTTGTTATTAAAATAAAAAGAGAAGTACAGTTCTATGACTAATCCAGGAAGTTAAAAGAAATAAGGGTAAGGATTGGTATTCTGAGAGAGAAGTAAAAATACTCATTCTGATAGCCAGAGGGAATTTTCCATAAAGAAAAACCGTTTCAACATAGAGTACGCTCAGGAGCTCTGCACTTCTAAGGGGTATATCTACTCTCAAGTTGGCAAAGCCAAGGTATACTCATCAGCATCACACGTCCTTTAGTCTGGAACAACGTTCAAAAAGACCGTGCACCCAAACTGGGCTACCACAGAAGAACTGGCTTCAAGGCTCCAGTTCTTGATGAATCAGTAATAACGACTTGGTTCAAGAACCAGCATGTCAAATGGAAGAAGGGACAGCAGCAGCAAGTTTGTCACCAGGAGCCTCAAACCACAGCATTTCCGTGAAGGAGGAGGAGATCCCTTACCAGTAAGTGCTGCAAACACTCATCCCGTGAGTCCTGGAATTTGGGATGCATCTTACCATGACTCACATGAGCTTTCTGGAGTGAAGAAAGCTGGAGGGACTGGTGCTTCTGTGTGGAATTCATCACGGGATTCTCGGCCTCTCAATGCTCAACAGATACGTCAGAGAGATTCTGATCCTCCTTGGGCCTCCATTCCCTATGAAATAGGTGAATTTGTTTGTGCAGTTATGTGACCTACCTGGGGAAGAGGATCCTAGCAGGCTAGATCAGTATCTTCCAGGGTGCCTGTTTGAGGGGCTGTGGCCATCACTGATCTTGAGCATAACTCCTACCATATCCCCAGCTCCCAAGAAAGATCTGTGACCCAAATTGTAACCAACTGAGAGATGTTTCCAAACACCTTTCATGGACTGATTCCAGTCAAAATAGATTGGAGCCCAGGGATTTCTTTCTTTCTTTCTTTTTTTTTTTTTTTTTTTTTAGAGTCTTAAGCGGTCACCCTAGGTAGAGTGCTGTGGCATCGTAGCTCACAGAAACCTCTCGCTCTAGTGATCCTCCTGCCTCAGTTTTTCTATTTTTAGTAGAGTCAGGGTCTTGCTTTTGCTCAGGCTGGTCTTGAACTCATGAGTTCAAGCAATCCACCCATCTCGGCCTCCCAGAGTGCTAGGATTACAGGCTTGAGCCACTGTGCCTGGCTGGGATTTATTTTTTTCTGTAAGGAAAAAATGAAATCCTCTTACCTTTCATCATTGCCTGAATATTTGGTGTTCCATTTGAGTGCCTCCTCACCCAAATTTCAGTATTAAAGACAGTTATCAGAGGAGTGATGCCAAAAAAGAAAAAAAAGGAGTGGAAAAACAATTTTCAAGATAGTAACAAGCTAAGAAAAGACCTAGGAAGAAAGGAAAAGTTAAATGAAAGAATAAAAAAAAAAAAGGTTTGGAAGCATAGTCCCTCGGGGAACTCATAGAGATAATAGAAAACAAAACCATCGGCAGGGGAACCGTAAACTCACTGGTCAGGAACTGGAATAAAGAGAAGAGGTAATAAGAAAGAGGTAATAAATAGCTGCTTCAACTGGCTTTTACATTTTGAATATCTAACAACTACTTCTCTGAAAACTTCTCTTCATGAAGATTGCCTGCAAGCAGAAGAGTCTATAATACTTCCAATTGGTTCCAATTAAACTAATCAAGGCTTCAGTTTGATCTACTAAAAACAGCTTGCTATTTGGGTAGTAATCATGAGCATATTTGAATTTGGTTACAAATTCAGTTTTTCTGCAAACTTTAGTTTATTCCTATTATATGAGCAACAAATGTTTACTATACATAGTATAATGGTTCATCTTTGTTATCTCTGATTGTATTACATTAACCTGTATTAAAGAAAAAAATTATCTTAAGTGTTTGTTCAAGTTGGTAGGGGAGACTTTATTCTGGGAGGTCATGGCAATAGGTTTGGAGACCACTGCAGCATGGTCTTGCAGTGGGGTGAAGATAATTGGATTCAATTGCAAGGAAGCCAGCGGTGACACGTGGAGATTTACAACCAAAGAGCAGGGTGGGGGTCAGTGGATGGAGGAGACACCAAGGATAAAGGGCTTCTTGCTTTAACGGACTTGATGCGATTATTGTTGAAGGCTGGCCGGGGTAATAAATTATCAAGGGTGGGAGATTTTTGCTAATAAGATTCTACAAGGACAGAGAGGAAAGCCCAAGGTCAGGCCTAGTTAAGCAGAGGGCTCAGAGGAGATGAGTTTTGGTCTGAGAGAATCTTTGTCACTTGATTATAGTCAATTTTAGACAGATTAATGTATCTCCCTTGTGTTTTCTTCAAATTCAAAAACTCTTCAGAATGCTTTTCTAGTATTGTCTACCTAAAAATAAACCTTCTGGTATATCTGTGACATGAATAGATACCTCAACTGTTTAGTTCCACCAGGTGGAGCAGGGAATCCCATTGCCTGTAGTGCACAGCTCCAGCACAATTTGTTTTTTTGTTTTTTTGGGGGTTTTTTGAGACAGAGGCTCAAGCTGTCCTCCTAGGTAGAGTGCCCTGGCACCACAGCTCACAGCAACCTCCAACTCTCGGGCTCAAGCGAGTCTCCTGCCTCAGCCTCCCAAATAGCTGGGATCAGAGGCGCCCACCACAACGCCCGGCTATTTTTTGGTTGCATCCGTCATTGTTGTTTTGGCCGGCCCAGGCTGGATTCGAACCTGCCACCTTAGGTGTATGTGGCTGGCACCTTAGCCACTTGAGCCACAGGCGCCGAGCCAACCCATTTGTTTTTACCTAGTATGGAAGAGCTGTGGTGCTGGCTGACTCTAATCTGCTAAGGTAAAAGCAGTCATAGCTAGCCTCACAATTGGGGGCCACTGGTCTTAACATTTTCTTCTTTTTCCTTACCTTTTCCAGTTTGAGACCTTCTCAGGAATAAGACATCTTTATAGAGTAGAACCTCTGCAAGTTGACCACCCAAGGGACTATAACAAACTGCTCAACCTACAGAGGTGGTCAACATATAGGCCTGCTGTGCTCATCCGTGCGTTTCGGGTCTATGAAAATTAGGTCAACTTGGGCAGAGCCCGTAGCTCAGTGGATAGGGCGCTGGCCACATACATTGAGGTTGGTGGATTCCAACCCCACCCAGGCCTGCTAAAACAACAACGACAAATGCAACAACAACAACAACAAAATAGCCAGGAGTTGTGGCAGGCACCTGTAGTCCCAGCTACTTGGGAGGCTGAGGCAAGAGAATCACTTAAGCCCAAGAGTTTGAGGTTGCTGTGATCTATAACACCAGGGCACTCTACCAAGGGCAACATAGTGACACTCTGTCTCAAGAAAAAAAAAAAAAGAAAATTAGGTCAACTTAAGGAGGTGGTCATTGTAAGGAGATGGTCGACTATAGAGTTCCTATGTATTTCAGTTTCATCATGAACACTTTTCAAATGAAAAATTAATATCCATCTTTCATAATGTTTAAGAAAGACTAATGTGCTATTTTGTTATATTGATTCTCCCTGAGTTACTTTATCTCACTTTATTCAAGATTAGACTTAACTCAAACTAAACTAAAAATAGAACTCTCGTCCTGGTTTTCAGTGGGTTCCATTGGTAGAGTTTCAAGGCTTCTGAGCTGCTTCATCTGTGTATTTATTATAAACAAGCACATTTAGCACCTTGAAAAGAAGAATATTGGCTTTTTCTTTTTAATTGAGACAGAGTCTTACTTTGCCACCCTCAGTAGAGTGCTGTGATGTCATAGCTCACAGCAACCTCAAACTCTTGGGCTCAAGCAATTCTGTTGCCTCAGCCTCCCTAGTAGCTGGGACTACAAGCACCTGCCACAACCCCCGCCTACTTTTTTTGTTTAGCAGAGCCAAGGCGGGTTTGAACCCATCAGCCCCAGAGGGATGTGGCTGGTGCCATAAACACTGAGCTATGGGCACCCAGCCAGTATTGACTTTTTAAAAAGATAAGTTATAGCACATTAGATTCTTACATGTTTGCATTATATGTATTTCATAGCAAAATTGCCACTAATGACAAGAGTGGAAAGAACATTTTTTCATAATAAACTTCAAAATGAAACATGTAGGTAAAATTTGGATTTTTTTTTTTTTGAGACAGAGTCTCACTGTGTCACCCTTGGTAGGGTGACCGTGGCATCACAGCTCACAGCAACCTCAAACTCTTGGGCTTAAGTCATTCTCTTGCCTCACCCTCTCAAGTAGATGGGACTATAGGCGTCTGCCACAATGCCTGGCACTTTTGTTTTTGTTTTTGTCATTGTTTTTTAGCAGGCCCCAAGCCAGGTTTGAACCCACCAGACCCGGCACATGTAGTCAGCACCCTAACCACTGAGTTACGGGCACTGAGCCTAAAACTTGGAATTTTGAAAAGTTTTCACCAACATGATTAGTCAGCTATATATTCTAGGAAGGAGTGAAGCCAGAAGCTCTTTTAATAGGATTTTAATGTTTTAGAAACAGTTGTTCCTAACCAAGACTATTTACTGCTCTGTTGTTTTGGACCAGATACTGCAGTCCAGTTTAGCAACCTTTGAGCACTGAAGGGAAGGAAGGACCTTGCTGATTGGTCTTTCCTTCAACCTCCAGTGCCATCTCAAGGTCATTTACATTTTTAACTCAAAGTAATAGCTTTATTACATATGTTTTTGTGTGCTCACACACACAAAAATAACCCCCCAAAATCCAGCTTCCTGAATATAGCCTAAGACACTGCTAGTTCCAGCCTGCTATGTTTGTGTTTAACTAGGTATACCCTTTCTTATCCTATAGATAGATTTCCCTGTTACACTTTTTTTCATATTAGATACTTGAAGATGGACATTTAATTTAAAGTAATAGACATAGCTTAGATTGAAATATATTTTTGTTTCTCTTTTCTTAAAGACAATCATGTATGAAAATTGATTTATTCTAAATATTACCTGGAGTTTATAAAACCCACTTATTGCTGCCACACTCGGCCCGACTTTGCCTTGCTCTGTCTTGTAGGTGGGGCTGCTGAACCCCTGAGCTTCTGCTTCTTTGCTCTGAAATAATGATTTCTTAATCACAGCTTTGTCATATATAATGAGAAGATTAACGTGTCAGTATAAGTTACGAATTGGTTTCAATGTGCCAAAATGATTATTCTTATTTGTAAGTCTCAGTTATGCCAAGGGTTAAATTTCATGCCAGAATTAGTCAGTATAAAGGAGGGGTCGGCTTACGTTTCCCCTCCGCCTTTCTTTGCCAGTGCAGCTTATCTCCCAAAGAAATCTAGCCAAACTTCGTGCCTGCCAGAACCTGTGGTTCCGGTGGTATTGGGCTATGATTTCAACGAAGCAAAATGTATTAACACATTGCCAGCTCCGTGGCTCTGGGTCAGGAGCCTAATGATAAAAATGGCTATGTCTCCATCCTACTGTGAATAACATCTTGAGTCGGTGTCCTCTTCCATCAGTAAGTCCCTTTTCCTTTTTCCTTCCCTAGCACTCAAGTTCTCGCCTGAATTACCAAAGCAGCGTTCAGGGATCCTCTCAGTCCCAGAGCACACTAGGCTACTCCTCCTCGTCTCAGCAGAGCTCACAGTACCATTCATCTCACCAGGCCCATCGGTACTGACCGGCTCCCCTCAGCCCAGGCCAGCCCAGAGCACAGACTCCAGCAATATGACGTCTGCATTGAAAAGAATCCAAAAATACAAACTACGACGCTGTTTAAAACTCGTATACTTGGGGAGGAAAACTTGATATACTGAGCATTTTGCAAGACTAATACTCTTCTTTATTAACTTAAGGAAGATCCTGGTGGAGTCTCCCCAGCACCCCTTCCCGCATGTGTTCCATTGTGTGACTTCTCTGATACGGCGTCTGACCTAATCCCAGCACTTCTGTAACCTTCAGCAGTTTTTTGAAGGATTTCCTGGTGCACCTTTCTCATGCTGTAGCAATCACTATGATTTACCTTTTTGAAGCTCTTTTAATAGGATTTTAATGTTTTAGAAACAGGATTCCAGTGGTGTATAGTTTTATACTTCATGAACTGATTTAGCAACACAGGTGAAAATGCACCTTTTAAAAGCACCACGTTGTTTTCACAGACTGTAACTGTTTTGCTCATGGAAGTCTTAAACAGAAACCGTTACTGTCCCAAAGTACTTTACTATCATGTTTTTATTTATCTAGTTTCAGGGAAGGTCTAAATAAAAAAAGACAAGTGGTGGGACAGAGGAAATCTACAACCAAAAACAGCCTAGATCTTTGCAGTGACTATGCTTTATGCTGTGAAGAACTGAGGGATGTGGTAATTTTTATATAATCGTTCAAATGGAACATAGTTCCCAGAATCATCTTATTCTGATTAGTATTCAGTAATTAAGAATTATGATTTTAACCTTCACGTAGCTGAGTCTACCTTAAAAAGGGTTCCAAGAGCTTTGATGAGATACAGTCTCTGGTGACCCACACCAAAATGCTGAAGAGAGTATCAGCTGCACTAGGATTTCTTTAAGGAGTAATTTTGATCAAAGGATGTGTTCCTTCCCTTTGAAGGAAAAGCTTTTAGCCTGCATTGTACATAAAGTTGGCTTCTCTAAAGAACTGTTGGTTTCTTCGTATCTGGGTCTACGTGAGTAACTCTCTTACATAATCAAGGGTATTCAAGTAGAAGCCTGCGAATTAATCTGCTTTTAAAATAAAGAGCAGTGTTCTCCATTTGTATTTGCATTAGACATAGAGTGACTATTTTTAAAGCATGTTAAAAACTTAGGTTTTATTCATGTTTAAAGTATGTATTATGTATGCATAATTTTGCTGTTGTTACTGAAACTTAATTCTACCAAGAATCTTTTCATTGCACTGAATGCTTTCTTTTGCCCCTAGGAGAAAACTTAATAATTGTGCCTAAAAACTATGGGCAGATAGTATAAGACTATACTAGATAAAGTGAATATTTGCATTTCCATTATCTATGAATTAGTGGCTAAGTTCTTTCTTAGCTGCTTTAAGGAGCCCCTCACTCCCCAGAGTCAAGAGGAAGTGTAAAGACTTGGAGCTCCCCTTGTAATGTGTGGGACAAGCAATTTGTGTTCTTCTGAATGCTACTAGCAGCACCAGCCTTGTTTTAAGCGTTTTGCTAGAAGAAATAGCTGATTGTTGTATATGCAAATGATACGCATTTTTTAAAACTATTCTTTGTGAACTTATCTACCTGGTTATGATACTCTGGGTCCATACACAAGTAAAATAAGATGTTAGACAAAAGCCAGTATACATTTTGCACTATTGATGTGATACTGTAGCCAGCCAGGACCTTATTGATCTCAGCATAATAATGCTTATTAATAATAAAGACTGTCTAGTGACACTCATCAAGACTAAAGATGAAGCAGGTGACATGTTCCATTGGAAGGAATTTCGGATCATCTCCATGCTATTTTACCCCTTCTATTCTTTTTAAAATAAGAAATCAACAGCCCTCCACATAATATAGGTGCCTGTATACAGTTCTGTCCTGTGTCCTAGCCTCATGATCCAGAGCTGTGGGGCACCAGACACTCACTGCACCCTCAGCCTGTGCCCGGTGCTTGGTGGAAAACACAAAGGGCAGGGTGCACTTTCTGTCCTCGCAGAGCTTACGACCAATTTGGGGACAGTAAGCTCTCCTGGGATGTCTGTGCCATGCGATGGTATGAAGGGCCTTTTGTTTATTTCTAAACCCACTTGGGTAGTTATAATCCCAGATTCTGCTCTATGGAGAACAGCATCACAGAGGATTTCCGTGTCTGTCCACCTTGGAGAAAGCCGGTGATTATAGACCTCACAAAGGGCACCCCCGTGCATTAGAAATGTCCACAGCAGCCCTGCAACAACAATTGGGTGGCTCTTGTAGGCAGAACGCACTCTACTAAGTGGCTATGGGTAATTACAATGAAAGTAGCAGCTCTGCTCTTGCCCTCAAGGGAGCTTAAGATTAATAAAAGAAGACAAACTCAAATATAAACATACCCGAAAATGCCATGATCCTTAATACTTTGTAAGCAACTTTGCCACACAGATCTTATGATATGTGCTTCTACAGTCACAGGACTGCCCTGCTTTCCTTGTGTATAATGGATTTTATGGGCAGAACTGAGATATAAACTGTGAGGGCAGTGGGGCAGTTTCTTGTACGTGGTGGTACTGAGTACCAGTACATAGTGGTACTGCGTACTCTTTCTCCAGTTCCCAGCCAGAAACCCCCATCACCCATGTGGCTGGGTTCCTTGTCACCACACTGCTACTGGCCTTTTTCTCCTCTTTTCTTATCTCATGGTTGATGTTGCCCACTGGTTCCTATCACCCCTTTGAAGTCATTTTGGTTCATAATTTCCTTTCTCTATAGAGGGGAATAGAGCCTTTAACACACCTAAGGGCCCTAAAACTGTGGGACCTCTAAGGAGACCTGTTATGCTTCTTGAGGACAAAATTACCTTCGTGGTCTCCAAATGACCATATTCTTCTTTAAAAATGTATTAGATATTGTTACATCTAGGGACTCAGGAGGGCCATCCGTCAGCCGTGGGGACACCAAACCTAGGGAGGTTATTGGAAGGAAGGAAGGAATCCAAGTGAAGGTTTTCTGTTGTCATTATCACAAACCAGTTTTAAAGTTAACTTTCTGGGGAGGTTGCATTTGGGAAAGGGGATTGACGAGTTTCAGGACAGATGAGCCCGAGGTGTGGTAGCTTGGTGCAGGGCTGATACTTGGAGGCTGCAACAGTCCTTGTGATGAAGGACATCACGCAGTGACATACTGAAACCAAGGATCATGTCTGTTTTTAAATCAGTGTTCTGATACTGTAGTTCTTAGAATTTTGGCCTTCTGCACTATTCTCTTGCTCTCGCAAATGTAATAAGAATGGAAAGGGGTGACATTTTCCTATGTGTTCGGCCTCATTCCTGGTGAAGCAACTGCTCTCTAAAATGATGCTGTTTTCTCTGCCAAAAGCAAAGGAAAAGAAAAAAGAGTTGGAGAATCAGACTTGCAGCTTGATCTGCTTTCAAAAAAAATTATGTAGCAGAAACTATACGATGAAGGAAGAATTCTATGAAAATCGCAAATCCAAAACTCTGGTGATGTCTTCCTAGGGAGCGAAGAAAGGGAGTGAAACGGCAGTTAGACTCACGGAGACTTGAAGGATTCAAGGGCAAGTAAGGTTTTATATACAACAGCAGTTCAGGTCCCCGTAATCCTCAAGAATAGTTACAAATACCGTAAAACAAAGCTCACTGTTTTAGGATTTTTTAAAAATGTGTTGTACCTAAGGCCATACTTACTCTTCTATGCTATCACTGCAAAGGAGTGATGTGTACGTATTATATGATTAAAAAAATCCTTAATGCACTGTTATCTCCTAAATATTTAGTAAATTGATACTATTTAATTTTTTAAAGATTTGTCTGTGTAGACACTAAAAGTATTACACAAAAATCTGGACTGAAGGTGTCCTTTTTAACAGCAATTTAAAGTACTTTTTATATATGTTATGTAGTATAGCCTTTATAAACTGGCTAGTTTGTATTTCCTATAATGCCTATTTGTGAAGTGTACCAGTTCTCGTCTCTTTTTTCAGTCATTTTCTGCACGCATCCCTCTTTATATGATGATAGAGATGACGGTAGCTTTCCACACTCCACTGCGAGGGGTGTGCTCGGAGCTGGCTGCGCCCCAGCAAGCTCTGTGGGGTGCAGGACGAGCTGCCACTTTGCAGGGAGTGTTTCCTGCTTTTGAGTTGTTCTGGCATTCTTCTCGAAATGACTGTTAAAACTAAAATAAATTACATTGCATTTATTTTATATTCTTGGTTGAAATAAAATTTAATTGACTTTGCTTGTGTGGCTTTTTTAAGTGTAAAATACTCTGTGTTAAAATTGTATCTGTGTGCCTAGAAGCTTTTGTGATTATACTTGTCTTGCAGAGATACAAAGTCTCCCTGTGAGTTGCAATATGTTATTTTGTTCAGGATGCTTATGATGGCCCAAAACCACAGAAGCAAGCAAAGCTTGCAAATACTTCAGAAGATGTTTTTAAAAACATTTTTTAGGGGAAGCATCTCTTTTTCTAAATGAGAATATAATGATTTTTAGAAGAAAATAGATAGGCAATATTTTGTGGGTGTAGTTGGGTTGGGAGTTTCTCCTTTTATTAGAGAGTTCTGCCGAGCACAGTGGCTCACGCCTGTAATCATAGCACACTGGGAGGCTGAGGCTGGTGGATTCCCTGAGCTCACAAGTTCAAAAACAGCCTGAGCCAGAGTAAGACGTTGTCTCTAAAAAAATAACCAGGTGTTGTGGTGGGCGCCTGTAGTCCCAGATACTTGGGAGGCTGAGGCAAGAGAATCACTTAAGCCCAAGAGTTTGAGGTTGCTGTGAACTGTTACGTCACGTCACTCTACTGAGGGTGACAAAGTGAGACTCTGTCTCAAAAAAAAAAGTGTTTTGTTGTACCTACCTGGCCCTTCCATAATTTACCTGATGCATCTTCTGTGGTCACTCTACTATTCAAAGGCATCATGGAGTGAATTAATGTTTAAACGACAGGAACGTAAAACTTTCATTTCTGTCTAATACAGCCACGACACAGTCCAGCACGGCTGCTTCGCAGTTGGCATGGATTGTCTGCTCAGTACTGTGCTATTTGTAGGACTGGTCGTATCTCAGAAAACCATTTTTGACCTTGGCTGCCTTCCTCATCAGCCATCTGCATAAGAGAAAGTGGGTGACTGGACAAACCCTTTCCCATACCTAGGAGAATGATGAGGAGGTTTGTGTCCGTCTCCCCAGCAGACTGAAAGTTCTTCATGGACGGGGCCTGGGTTTTATTCTCTGTCCTCCCAGCACCTGCCGTGACGCCCGACGTGGAACAGATGCTTAATGTGGCCAGTCCTTAGCATCACTTTTGTACACTTGCATAAGATTCCCAGGTCAGACAGTATGCCATATTTGTATATGAATGGGGACGAATGTAAGTTTGTTCTATGAATAATGAGAATCCTAGAACCAGGTGTTACTGTCTATATTTTTGGCTGCAAAGTCATAATACGATATCACCCCAAAGGGACAAACAATTCAAATTGTAATTGAGTAAAAAATTAAGCAGAGTTAGCCATACCCGCCAATCTTTAGAAGCCGTCTCTCTTTTGGCTGCCTCCAGGTTGGCATTTTAAAGCCTCACATAGCATCATCCTGTTTCCCAGGCAGTCAGAAGCCAGTTTGGACAAGCAACACACAAGCCCAATAGGAAAATTTGTTTATTTTATTCAAATGAGAGAATATAGTATAGGGGAAAGAAGTGAAAATGTTGACTTAAAATATCAAAATGTATCTCTTCAGCATATTCTTTGCTTCGCAAGCTTTTTCCAAAAGTGCTGCTGAGTTTCTTTATGCGAAGATGCTGTATATAACTGGATGTGTTCCCTCCAAGTCTTATGTTGAAGCCCTGACCCCAGGGGGACTCTATTTAGAGACACGGCCTTTACAGAAGTCATTAAAAGTTAAATGAGGTTATATGGGTAGGGCCCTGACCCGATAGGAGTAGTGACCTTATAAACAGCTGCCAGAGAGCTTGCCCCGCTCCCCTCTTCCCTCTCTCTGGCCTCTGCTCGCTCTCTCCCTTTTTCCTTCCCCCTCCCAAGGACACAGCAAAAAGGCAGGCACCTGCAAGTCATGAGGAGAGCCCTCATCAGGAACTGATCTTACCCAACCTTATCTTAGAGTTTCCAGCGTCCAGAACGAAAAGAAACCTAAGTTTCTGTTGCCTGCAACCCAGTCTATGGTATTCTGTAATGGCAGCCTGAGCAAATAGCAATGCTCTTCACCTTCTAAGCTAGCAAAACCTGTCATCCGTGCTTAATCTGGCTTCCCCTTCCTCGATGGAGATCTGTTGTCTGCAAACTAACAGTCCTTACCTTCCACCTCTGTCTTTCCAACCTAATTTTAAGTGACTTCTGAATGCTTTCTTCTTACCTACCTGGTGTAAATTCAAAGGCCTCCAGAGTCTCCCATCCAAAGATTATCCTCATACCTGAACGTGCCCACGCACCTACTCACACCTGGAGATTCTTCTTTTATCTTCCTAAAAATTACTTAAGTTCCTGGGAGGGACAGCTGTAAATGTGCCCTCCACCACCTCCACCAGATCATCATCCCTCCCCCTCCCAACTGTTCGATTACTACCTACTGTGAGCCAGGCGCTATGCTGGGTGACTGGAGGTGCCAATGTGGCCATGTGTGCAAGATGTTCCCAGCCTTTTAACTGAGCGTAGTTAATAGGACAAGGCGGTGTGATGAGGACTGTAAAAGAGGCCACGGAAGAGAAGGACGACTGCCTGGGGGCCACAGCTCTTGTCAATGGGTGAAATGGTTTGACAGGTGAACTGGCGGGGAAGGATTCTAGGCAGAGAAAGGCGTGTGAAAGGCAAGAACCCGAGAATGAAGTGGGTGTGTGTTTGGACAGGGGAGAGCAGGAAGGCCGGAAAATAATCTTGAGAGAGACCGTGTGAGTTTAAGACTTCTCTCGTGGTAGGGGGAGGATGGACTGAATAGGAGCAACTGTTAGAGGCAGACTGGAGACTCGGCAGACTTCTGCCTTCCTCTGGCCACATCCTCGGCATGTGTTCTCTTATGGGTATTTGCTGGTTCTGAGAAAAACCATTTTGAAAGATCTGGGTCCTCCAAGCAAATGCTGTCCAGTACCAAGTTTTTCCTTTTGGCTGCAAGGTTAATCAAAATTAGTTGAAACTTATAGGTCTGAACAAGATTTGAATGAATCACAGGTAGGTGCCCTGTTTGAGTTGTAAATCTATGGTTAAAACTGTCTTTATTGATGTAAGGTATAAACAGTAAACTATATAGATATTAAAGTGTACAGTTCAAAGGGTTTTGACAAAAATGTACATTCATGTAACCACAATCCAAACTAAGAAATAGAACATTCCTTTACTCCTCAAAACCCTGCCATTCTCCTTTCTGGTCAATTCCTCCACACCCACAGAGGCACCCACCGTTCTGATTTCTATCATTATATGTTAGTTTTGCCTTTTTAGAATTTCATGTAAATGGAATCATATAGTTTATACTCTTTTGTGTCTGCTTTCTTTTGTACAAAATAATGTCCCTCATTTTAACTGTCACTCATGATGGATATATTAGCAGTTAGTTTCTTTTCACTGAATAATATTCCATTATATAAATATGCCATAATTTGTTTAGCCATTTGTTTGTTGATGAATATTTGGGTTTCAGTTTAGGACTATTATTAATAAAGCTGTGAATACTTTTCTATATGTTTTTCCCCCAAATATTCTGCATTTTTTTTTTTAAGAGGTAGGATCTCACTGTGTTGTCCAGAGCTGGAGTGCAGTGGCTTCATCATAGCTCACTGTAACCTAGAATTCCTGGGCTCAAGTGATCATCTCACCTTAGCTGCTCAGGTAACTGGGACTACAGGCATGTGCCACGACCTCAGCTACTTTTTAATTTTTTTGTAGAGACAGGGTCTTGCTATATTGCCCAGGCTAGTTTTGAACTTCTGACCTCAAGTGATCCTCTCACTTTGGCCTCTCAAATTGCTGGGATCATAGGCCTGAGCTGCTGTGCCTGGACCCTTCCTATTTTGATAAGAGTTTTAATCATGGACAGATGCTGAATTCTTTTCTTTTCTTTTCTTTTTTTTCTTTTTCCTCATGCTATCTTATCTAAGACAGATTCTGAATTTTGTTAAATACCTTTTCAGCATATGAGATGATAAAACTTTCTTCTCCTTTGTGTAGTTAATGTGATGAATTAGACTTTGATTGATTTTTGAATTATAAAACAACCTTGCATTCCTTTTCTAAGCACAGAGGATAAAGCAATGGTAAGATAGAGGCAGAGATTGGAGTGTTGTGGCCACAAGCCAAGGAATGCTGGCAGCTACCAGAAATTGGAAGAGGAAAGGAATAAATTCTCCCCTAGACCCTCCAGAGGGACTATTGTCCTGCTGGCACCTTGATTTTGAATTTCTTGCCTCCAGAAGTATGAGAAAATAAATTTCTGCTGTTTTATGCCACCAAGTTTGTGGTATTTTGCTATAGCAAGCAGAGGACATGAAGACACCTTTGGTCATGACCTATTATCATTTTCCTAATTTGCTCAATTTGATTTGCTAATATTTTATTAAGTATCTTTGTATCTATGTTCATGAAGGATGTTGGTCTATAATTTTCTTGTAATGTCCTTGTCAGATTCAATATCAGGGTTATATGGTGCTCAAAAAATAAAAAAATTATTTTCCCCTTAAATATTTGGTAGGCTACACCAGTGAGGCCTTCTGGGCTTAGAGTTTTCTTTCTTTCTTTTTTTTTTGTAAAGACAGAGTCTTACTTTATTGCCCTCAGTAGAGTGTCATGGCGTCACACATCTCATAGCAACCTCCAACTCCTGGGCTTAGGCGATTCTCTTGCCTCAGCCTCCCGAGTAGCTGGGACTACAGGCACCCGCCACAACGCCTAGCTATTTTTTTGTTGCAGTTCAGCCGGGGCCGGGTTTGAACTCACCACCCTCAGTATATGGGGCCAGCGCCCTACCCACTGAGCCCAGGCACCCCCCAAGGGCTTAGAGTTTTCTTGAGAAACATTTTAACTACACATTTCACTCTTTTAGAGGATATAAAGCTTGCATATTTTCTACTTATTCTTGAGTTAGTTTTGTCATATTCTTTCAACAAATTTATTCATGTAAGGTGTAGTATAAATATTTCTCATAAGATCTATATTTAGACAAAACTGCCAATTCAAAGGGAATGAACATCTTTAATTATGATAACATTTGTTGAGCTAACATTTATTGAGC